CTGTTGTTTAGCTGTGTGACAGATTTCGCAATGATGTAAAATATCAGTTTCAATGACAGAATGTTTTAGGAAATCTAAATGTTGTAAAGTGTTCAAAGATGTGTGACCAAGCCTTTTGTGCCATTCGAGAATAGAATCAACAATAGGCGAAGTGGAAATTTTATTGATTTCAAAGGTCTGGTTACAAGATGAAAAGGATTCTGAAATTTTCGACTCAATCATAGATCTATCAATATTCTCAGTATTACTAAAACAGAAACTTGACTCATCTAACAAGTACAGGTTTCCCACAAGCTTCCCAACTGCTAGAACTTTCTCACTCTGCAGGTCCTGCAATAGGCACAATGAAGGGTAGAAAGTCAGTTTTAAATGTGCATTTTGAGTGAGTTTAGGTACTGATAGTAGATTGAACTTGAAACAGGGAATATATAGTGAGTCAGTGAGGTGTAGTTGTGAGTTTAATTTCACATTTCCAATTTTGTTTACAGGTTTGGTAGTTCCATCAGGCAAACAAACGTGTATAGGCTGGGTTATGGTTTTTATTTCAGTCATCAATTTTGCATCTGCACAGATGTGGTTACTAGCCCCCGTATCTATTATCCAAGTGCCTGACTTCAAACAATCTAGTTTAGCCAAAAGAGAATGACAGAAACTCATACCTGCATACTCCTTAACATGAGTAAAATTCACCTTGTTATCCATCAACAATTTTCCCTTCAATGCTTTATGGACTTCAAGTTTCACAATATCTGCTATGTTTGTTGACACTGATGTATCACTCTTCCTCATTTCCATCGATTGATCTTCGTTAAAGTCTAATGGAGTATCTGCCATATTTGCCAGAAACCTTCCATCTGTGACATTTCTAGATCTCTGCTCCTTTAGATCCTTATACCAGTCTGGGTATCCATTTAGCTTGAAACAAGTCTCCTTAGTGTGACCACTCATGTTACAATGGTCACAATGTGAATTCTCCCTTTCTACAGCTCCAAATCTTCTAGTGTTTCCCCTTGTTACACCATAATTACCCCTTCCAAATCGTCCTCTACCAAAACTTCTATAGTTCCCTGTTCTGCCTCCATAGTCTCTCTTATAATCAGTGGTTCTAATTAGCATAGCTGAACTATCATTCATTTCAGGAAAAATCGTATGTACTTCTCTCTGTTTTTCAACCCTCAGTACCATTGAATATGCCTTGTTTACTGAAGGCAAAGGATCCATCACAAGAATTTGATTTCTTATATGATCAAATGTATCGTTTAAACCCATTAAAAATTGCATTAATCGATTAAATGTTGTCAGATCTGATACCTCCTTCACTGCTGCACAGGTGCAGATAGGAATTGGCATTAGACATGCTAATTCATCCCATAGTTTCTTCAATTTAGTGTAATATTTTTCAATTGTCAACATCCCTTGAGAAATGCTTCCAATTTCCCTCTGCAATTGGTACAACAATGGCCCATTACATTCCCCGTATCTCTCTTTTAATTCTTCCCAGAGATCCTTAGCTGATAAAGTGTAAATGAAAGCTTCTACGATTTCCTTCGAGATCGAATTCAGTAACCACGATCTAACCATACAATCAACTCGTACCCATTGCTCAAATTTTGCTGAGTTCTCTACTGGTTTTTCACATCTACCATTGATAAAACCCAATTTCAATTTTGCTCCCAATGCTATCTTAATAGATCTACTCCAACTAAGATAATTTTGACCTGTTAAGTGTGAAGTAACTAGCTGCATTCCTGGATGGTCTGAGCTCTGTAAGTCTAATGGATCTCCATTAAAATACGTCTTCTCCTCCACTTGTTTTCCTGTAGCTTCATCGTCTTCAGATTCAATCAATGGCAGATCTTCGAGTGCTGCCATTTTAGTATCAGTAAGCTTTACTCTTCAGTGCATCGAACCATGCTCTGATACCATGAACAAAAGCAGGAAGATAATTTCTATATTTATTATTCGAAGATCTTAACTACAATGGCTCAAAACTCCATCATATATAGATGAAGAGAGAAAAACAGATTAACAACTAACAAACAAACTAAGGAATAAAACGTGAGGTTAAAAACGTGAAAGGACAAAACACGATGTATCTTATTTATACTAAAACTGGGCTGGTCCTTATCAATGAAATGGGCTGCTGCTGGGCTGCTGCAATTACCCGGTTACATTAATAAGCCCATCACCCTATTCCTTCAAATATAGATTAAGATTTTGAGAATATTCGATAATGATGAGATAAACAAGTTTATTGATGTATTTAGATGGAACTGCCCTTCAGTTCCAGCATAGATTTCCATGTGAAACCCCGCTGTCGAATTGAACTTATCTGGCACTAAAATATTAGTTAATAAGAATTTTAGTGTGACCATAATGATTTTTGTAACAAGGCTGGTCCAAATAATAATAATAATAATAATAATAATAATAATAATGCAGGAGAGGAGTATATTCAAAGATGAAGGATGATATTTTTCACTCTTCTAATATATTCNAGAGGAGTATATTCAAAGATGAAGGATGATATTTTTCACTCTTCTAATATATTCTTATTGAAAATCCTCAACTTCAACTAATTCCACCTCTATTTATGTATGTTTTTATTTTTTATCTTATTTAGGGGCTGTTTGGGCTTACTTTTTGAATTAAAAAAATTTGATTTCATAGTCGTTACGTGTAAAATCAGGCCATCTTTTTTGACCAATCATTTCAGAGGTGGGGTCTATCTTGGCAAAACAACGATCAATGTTTCAATTTTAAGCTGATGAAGAATCGGCACCAGACATGTTCTTAATTTAATTAGTACAATTAGATATTTATTAAGGTCCTTATTTTCTCAACACATATCATGTAAGTATTTATTTACATTGTAATTAATTACAGAGAGGATGATTTTGAACGTATATATAATCACTTCAAAATATTGTTAATCAAATCCACGACATGACAATAAATGATTTTCTTGGTCATGATATGTCAAAAATGTTACTTGTTTGCGAATTTTTTCTGATCATGATAACAATTAATGATAAAAATTGAATTGATGTGATGTTGAATCAACTAAGCTTTGATGATAAAAGTGGCACTAAAGATTTTTCTTAGTTCATATATATATAAAGCATATAAAGTTTTCAATTTTTAAGTAATTTAAATTGTTCAACTTGAATTGGGACCAAGCCCAAACCGACAAACCTAAATCAAACCAACCCGACTTGAACATGTTCGGTTTGTGTTGGTTCAATTTTATGCCCAAATCGATTCAATTTGATTTCGATATTTAACAAATCGAAATGATCAAAATTCAATAATGGTTCAAGTTGAAAACCGAACCAACCCCACCCCTATCTAGAGTTTGATTATGCCCCCGTTTGGTGCACATTTTGAAGGTAAGAATGCATTTTTACTGTTAATGTGATGAGGAATATGTGGTTGAAAAAGAAGAAAAAGTTATTGATGTGGAAAATATTATTTTATTGAAGAATGTGTGATTGAAAATGAGTAGAAGAATGAGAATGAAAAAAATAATGTGAACCAAACAGGACATATATTCATAAAAGTTTTGCTAGGATGTGTCTTGTTAATATGTTGAATTGGTTTGTTACATGTGTTACACACCGAAAATAAAAAATAAAAAAAAGTATTTTAATGGCAGAAATATTAAACATAGGATAGTTGTCCCCGCTGTCATTTATATTGTGAGTTGGAATGATTTGGTTCCATGTACAATGCTCGAGTGTGCAATTATGCCTTTAAGCGGCGCTCTTAGCTGTAAACTAATTGATAATCTAAGTGTGTCCGTACCTGCCAGAATTGTTTCTTTATGCTTCAAGCAAAATCCATTGTAAAGGGGGTAAATTCGGCCAATGATCATCGAAGTTTTGAGTAATTACATCAACAGACAAAAAAGTTATTTTCTTATGGTAATAGTAACTCGAATTTCTAAACATTATGGTAATAGTTAGTCAAAAAATTAACATTACGTGACGTCGTCACTTTCACAACATTAAGCACGTTAATATGAGAAAGCGTAACACAAATTTAATTTTGATCAAATTTTTGGACTTTAATCATATGGTAAACCCACGCTCGTTTTCTTTAACTAGTTTCAGTGACTTAACGTAATAGATTATACGGTTTGATGACACATTAGCACTCAGGGATCTTTAGCGCAATTAAGCATTATGAAAGCGATATTTTACATCTTTTTTCTAATATACTTTGAGAAATACATTAGTTAGGACTTGAAACAAAGAAAGAATGAAATTTATCTCAAAAACATGACTAATGTATGAGACAATCATGTTCAATACTGTGTACTGAGATGCCAGTATAAAAAACTAAATCAACGCCTTTTTCATATAATATAATAAACAAACCTTGTGCTTATAATTAAAATAGTACAAAAGATTGGGCTGGAAAAGGAACCCTTCTCTTCCTTACCCACAAAAAGTTAAAAAAACTGGGAAAGAAAAAAAAAATGCTGTACCATTCCTAGATGCCTAAGAAAATAATTCTATGAACCTGGCATTGGATCTTTCCATGGATGCAGGCCAGGTTTTCTAACTCACAGAAACATACAAATTACAGGCTGGCTTCTGCTCACTAGACTAATAACAAATACACATAAAATCATCACCCCCCTTTCCCTCAAAAGAGAGAGATGGACACAAACCCACAAAAAATTGGGTTCTTACTAGGACAAAATGACCATGAAACAAAAGACTAAAACTTAGAAGACCTCAATCGTTGTCTGTCAAGAACAACATAGAATAAGACCATTTCAGCTGTCTCTCCCTCCTTTAAGGGTTGTGCCAGTGTGCTCAGCTCGACTCATCCCTAGCTTTGAATGAGCTTTCAAAATTGAGTCTGTAATGAACCATGACCAAAAATTTAACAGTGTAATCTAAGTCATACAATACAAGTAAACAACTAATAGAATTCTGAACTTCTAAGATTTACCAACAATCTTCATTAGAAACGAGACATTGAACATTGTGTCACAGTATAGCTTTGTCACTCAAATTTCTCACTCGGAGCTCCACGTTACGTAGATCACGAAGATGTTGTAAAATCTCTTGAAGGAGATCCATTCCCTTGTCACCTTTCTGTAGGGAGCTAATGCAATGCTTTAGGAACTCTCTATCTGCCTCAAGAGCTTGTAATCTTTCATAAAGATGATCCACCTCATCTTCGATGGCAATCTTCTTGTTCTCTAATCCAAACTTGGTTTCGTGAGAATTCTCCTTACCATTACAATCAAATCCATTTATGTTCCCATTCGGAGTAACATCACCATTTTCTTCATTAATTGCATCAAACAGTGGAAGAAGTGACTTTGGGGTTGAACCTAGGATTTTTCTCCGCGAATGATGTTTCCCCATCAGTACGTTAGAAAAAACATTTGCATGCCCATTAGCTTCACTAAAATGACCATTTTCACCCAAGTGATTCCCATTCTCTTCATGGACATCTTCCATTGCTCTGACATCCTCGAACTTCTGTTCATCTTCGTTGTTCAATGTCATGAGCTTTTCTTCTAAAACCTTGAGCATCTCTAGAATGGACAACCTCTCTTCCTCGAAGTCCGCTAATGATTCTTCCAAGTTTAGAACTGCATCAACGGGAGTATTGTGGTTTCCGAAGTCTTGATGGCTATGGAAACTCTCTTCGTCTTTCACTTCTTGATTTAGATCTACAGATAATCCATCACTATCCTCAAGATTGCTACAAGAAGCTGAGGAAAACCCACTCCGCGTACTTCCATCCTTACTTTTCTTCAATATCCTCACCTTTTCTTTTGTTTCGTAATCCAACACCTTTTTCCTATACAACTCAAACTCTTTCTCAAGCTCTTTTTTTTCCTTCTCCCTCTTTACCATAAGTTCATTCAATAGTTGCAATGCTTCTTGATCATATTCAGACTGTTCCTCCATCATTCTCTGATACTGCAAAGCTTCCATTTGCATTGCTGCCTTCTCTCCTTGGAGTCGATTTATCATTGCCATTGTTTGATTTGCAGCCACTGCAGATGCACTTCGTTCTTCTTCTAGCTCAGCATATAATGCCTGCAAAGCCTTTCGCTCAGCTCTCAGTGCCAATTTCAAGCTTTCAATGGTAACAACTCCCTCGCTACCTTCCAACTCACTGGTGACACTTCCGTCCAAAGATTCATCTGTCCCAGAATCCCTTTTCTCGAGCAACAACAATTTCTTGTGCAGATGATGAAGACTTTCCACAGAAGTAGGCGTATCAGGAACCTTGTCTTCTTCAATCTCGTTCAGTTCCAAACAAAACGATGGTCGATTGTTCATCACATGATCACTATCTGGAACTGATAAGGCAGGCAATTCTACCGTCTGTTCCTGAATCATACCACCTAATAGACAACAAATTTCAACATTCAACTAAAATGAAGTGAAAGAATGTTTGGTACACTATACTGAATGACAAGAATTCAGAACTTACCATGATTATCTGCTTCAAGAAAATTGGCAGAACTAATTGAAGGGTCTTCATGGCATTCATATGAAGGGATAGCTTCTTGATTTTGAATTTCATCTATTATATCTAAATCAGGAATTTCTGTTCCAATTGAGACTTCCGCTTCAGTTTCAGTTTCTTTAATCAGACTTTGAGCAACTTCTTCAGAAACTATATAATTCAAGCATATAAGCATTAATATGCATTCAACATTACAAAAAAAGATGGAGAAAACTCTTAGTCAGAACCAGAACCAGAAATAAATGTACCTGGAAGAATATTTGAATGCTCGCTTCCACCTTCTGTAGCTGCCTTCACTTTATCCTCATCTACATCTACAAATGGAGTTTTGGATACACAAAAACCTGCATCATTCTTAAGCACAGCCATCTCAAAATGACATTCTTTAGCATGAAAAACCCGAAAATTTTCAGCCTCTTCTACGTCCATGGAGTCCAGCAAACTGAATGCAGGTTCCTCATTTAAATCGAAATCAAGTTCTGCATCATCCTCTACTTGTACACTTCTGTTTCCCACATCCAATTTAACTTCAGAATCCAAAAAGGATTTTTCATTCTCACTGGTATTATAATCCTTAAAATTGTCATTTTTATGATCCTCTCCTGTTACCGACTCAATCAATTCGACTGGAACCAGTTTATGGCCACTGTAATCCAGAAAAAATTCCAGATGCTGATTGGAAACTTCAACAGAAGTATCTTCAACAACAGACACTTGAACAGACTTATCTTCCATGATTTTACTCGGGTTTTCGACCACATTATTTCCCTTCTCTCTATCCATAGACAAAACTACATCTACCTTTTCAACTTCACCTCCTAACTCTTTCGACTCATTCGTAGATACAGAAACAGAATCATTTTCCTCTGATTTCTTAATTGTTACACTCAAATCTCTAACAACTTCAGAGAGAATCTGAGTTACATTCTTTTTCTCCACCCCTTGTTCATCATAACATGAAGCAATAGCAAAATCTGACAATAATTTATCATAATCCTCAGGCTCTTTAATCAAATTTTCTTTGTGGGCAGGTTCCAAAAAACTCCAAGAAGGCTTGAGCAATATATAAGAAGAATATATATCTTTATTATCTAAGACTACACCACAACAAGAACAGTTCAAACTTACCTCACCATTTTCACCCAACTTTTCTTCATCACTGTGAATCGTTCCCAATTCTTTCATCCATTCAAACATATTAACATTCTTCAATACTCCCTGAAATTCTGATCTTGAAGATAAGCAATCCTCACACATATCTGTAGATTCGGCCAACTTTTGATGATTTGAACAGTAACCCAAATTTGAAATCTCCTTGGAGTGGGCTTCACAGAGAAGATCTCTGTGCATGTTCTTATTCCCCTTTTGAGGCTCAAAAATATGATCCAGTCTAGTACACCAGAGGCAAGGGGGTTTCAGACCAAAATACTCCGCAAATTTTATGATCAGATAAGAAAACAGAGAGTTTAAGAGGAGGAGGACAATCAAAATCCATTCAAGAACTGCATAGATTAGAATAAAAGTAATCTTGTTGGTGTTCCTATGCAACATGGATGCAAATTTGTTTGCAGCCATTTCTTGATACTCTATATTATGTCATGAACAGATGAAAATAATTCGTAGAAATCACAAAATGAAAACAGGGGAGAATTAACAAATTCAGAAATGATTAAAACAGCACTGAACTGTAGAGAGAGAGAGAGATGAACAACAGATGAAGAAGAGGTTTTATTTAGACAGAGAAAGGTCCATTTGAACAGACAGGCAGACAAGACTTTAAAAAAGAAGAATCGAGTAATTGTAGGAAAAAATTTAGTATGAGGTTTCCAAACAATTTTAAGCCTTATGTGTTTTGAAATATTAAACGTTATCATGGAATTTACGTCAAAAGAAAATAAATTTTAGACATGAAAATTATTGATTAAATTTGTTTAATTAATTTAGTTTTTAACTAAAAAGTGTTATACATGTCTATTTTTTATTGGTAGGTAAATGAGAGAAAATTCATAGATGAGAGTGAGGAAGAAAGAGTGAATTATCCGATTTTTTTTTTTTTCAAGAAAAATATGGTCACGTGACCAAAAATAGGAAAATATTTTCTATAGAAAAAAATGTCAATTAAACAGTACAAAAGTAAAAAAAAAAAAAAAGGGTTGAAAAAACACATTTTTATGAAATGTATTTACAATCAAACACACCCTAAAAACATTTTCCAATAGTGCAACAATTTTAATTTTTTCACTATAACATGTTTTTGTCCCTTGTTTTACATCCCATGTCCCATGTCGACTTTAGGGCTAAAAAAAAGAGAGGAATGAGATTCCACCACTTTTGACATAGTAGGCTCTCAGCAAAATGTTTGCATGATAAGCTATTAGCTCAATGGTAGATTGTCTTTGATATGACTGTGCAAACTCTCAACCCCAAGAATAGTTTAATATGTTCATGGACTCTTGACATTGATACGTGAACGGTTTAAAGTACATTAACATGATGTACTCCTCCTAATTGAGTTGAGGTTCGAAAAGAGGGTAGGTGGGATAAATGAAGTGAAATTCAAAGTATATCCAAATTTTATTCACTCATGAAATTTGGACCACCATGACTCATCTGTTCACAAGAATATACCCTTATTAGTTCGAACAACTATCTCTTAAGCACATTTTTAAGCTTGACCTCAGTGGATTCTTATATTTCTTTTATTAAAGTTTCATTCGCTTCATAAGAAGAAAACTTTGTTATTCAAAACTCATTCGTTAGTTCTCTTTTGGGGAGATACGGAGATGAAACTGATTTTCTCGTTGATCCTTAAAAGATGTTAGTTCTAACTTCTATTTTTCCACATAAGTAATAAATGTATTGTATTTTAGAAAGTTTTATACTTGCATTTATATGCTAGTAAACACATAAGAGGTTTTAAATTTTCTACTTTTAATTTTTCATATTTACTCATAATGGTGGAGAAATATCTATTCAAAATTCTCTATTTGTTTAATTTGAAATCCAACTAATTTTCATTAAAATTTTGCTTAAAGGCAAAAGAGAGGCCTCCATGGGTAATAGGGTCAAGTGTCAACTTTGGATCCAAAAGGGTGTTGTGATGGGCCAAATCCTGCCCGCTCCACAATATTTCGCTGTTGATGGGCATCAAAATGAGGGGGCCCACCAACCAATAACATGAATGGGTGGGACCACACCGAAGTAAGGTGGGGCCCTTAAACAAGTGTCATCATATATGTTTACTTTTTCTTTTTTGTTTTAGTCAATAATCAAATGTTGGCTTGGCTTACTTTTAATTCCACATGCATTTCTAAATTCACATTATTCTTTCACTTATACTTTTTCATCATTTTTGTTGCGTGCACCCTTTCCTCACCACCCTTCAAGAGCAACGTTAGGCTAAATTTTACAAAAAAAAAAAGTATTATTTGTTTTTATATATATTGCCTTTTTAACTTTTAAGTTAAAAAATAAAGGATTGCTTGTTTTCTTATTTTTATTTTTAACTAATACTCAATCTTTTATTTTTAATTTAATTATTAGTAAAGGTTTTAAGCTTTGCCAATTACTAGAAATACTCTAGCCATCAGTCCATAAAGATGATAAAAACTAAAAAAAAAAAATTACAAGGGGAATCTAAATTTAAAAAAGGCTAAAGTTTAGTGAAAACCCCTAACTATATTATCGTATTAAAAATATTTGCTCCATTTTTTCCCCATAATTCTTATCCGCAGTGTGTACTTTAGGCACTACTAGATGATGAAAATGATCGACACATAACAAAAAAATTACGTGTAGTAATGTCGTATCTGATATGTTATATTAAAAGATATATATGCATGATGTAATTGAAAATTGATATCGTGATTGATTTGATCATGTTACGTCTCTGCCTATGAAGTAGATCATGTGACGGTCAGCTGAGCAAAAAGTCTTGCAAGGTGAGCACTTTACTTCACATCACCTCTTCTACATGCTTATTTTGAGGTAATTAGGTTATGCATTTAAATTCCTTACTCGGAATACTATTATTATTCGAGGTGATGCATAACCTCTCTACTGGAACATATATATGAGGCGTTGGACATTTATTACAAGCCTTGTTTCGGCCAAGTTACACAAAGTACAGTGCACAAAGTGATTGATGTGACAATTTTATGAGCGATGACGTTCAATCAAATTATAACTTTTTAGAATATATTCGAAATCTGCAAACCACAAGCCTATGATAAATATGGATTGACACGATTGGACATGACAAGTGAGCAGCTAGGATCAAGTCACGTGTCAAGCATCCGGAGTGGCCTCTTTAGTTTGCTCCCTTGTCTAAATACCCGGTCATCTCTCATTGATTGGGAAGACTTGTAAGTGTTATATAAACCTGATACCCATATTTTTATCAATTGTATCTCTCCCACATCCTATATTCTACACCATGAGACTTGAGAGTTGGGTGCACACGATTGTCGAATCCCACGGAGCTACGGTATAAATAATCTAATATGATTGTACAAGTGTGCAAATACGTCTCTCTCACGTTCAATATTGTTCACCGCCTGACTTGAGCTTCTGGCACACGATCGTCGAATCCCACAGGACTACAATCTATAGACTCTAACATGATTGTTCAAGTGTACAGATAACAGACACGTCAATGGAAGAGGAGTTGGAGTTGACAACTGAATCTCGTCAAACCTGGAGATTAGTGGATATCAAATTTAGTGACCCACCCATCACACTCAAGTTGCGTATTGAACCGACTAAACATGAACCAACCTAATTTATAGTTCCCATCAAAATAAATGTAATTTTAACTTCCTTTTTTCCTTCTTGTACTGTAATATATGAAGGGACCTGGCTGAAAATGCTGGGTGTTTGTAATAAGAGAATGCTATAAAACCTCTCCACAATGACACCATGGGAATCTTATCTAAAATCATGCAGTTGTGAACGTGCAAGATTGTGGGTCACATCAGGTGTGTTTCAAGTAAAATGTCTCTTTCGTTTCTCATTTATCAGTTGTTGTCACGGGATCTAACACATCTGGACAAAAGTTAAGCCTTCCAAAACAAAGAATCTAGCAAGTGCCAAAGCCAAACAAGCACCCACCCAAGACAACTTAGACAACCTGCAAAATGCGCTCAAAAAGGGGGGTCAAGCAGGTAGTGAACGTCTGTATCCTATCGCGTCAAAAACCAAAACATTTAACCTCAGTTACAATACTTGTACTGTCATGCGATGCAATTCAATGTTACAATCGACACCGAACATATCAAATGAAATTTTTTGGTTATTCAATCTGAGTAATGCTATCCAACAATCTTGGTGATGGATATCAATCAATGTGACACTGAGGGGACTGTCACATTGTTACAATGAGGTTGGACAGCGTATATATTTATTCATTTGACAATGCGACAGTGATCCCGTTGCCGCATTGACGGCTATTCAAACCACTCCTCATGGATAACACTATTTATTCATTAATCCTCAAGAACAAGGAACTTGCTACATCTACAGAAGTAACAGAACTTAAGAACAATAAATAGGAAATTATCGTAACACAGGTCAAAACACTTATTAAATCAACAACAGCGGCAATTTCATTGTTCAATTAACTATCTTTACAACTAGAGACAACATATACATTTCAAGGTCGAAAATCAACTATTATGCACTACTCACTGCTTCGCTCATTTCAAACATACCAAGATCAACTAAGCCAAGTAACTTATATTCTATATATGTATAACTTTATTATAGTAGACCCGTGCTCCCAAACGGATTGCTTGTTTGAGGGTGAGCAGCAGGATTGACAGGAAATTCTCCAAACCCTGTATGGCCGAAAGGATTTTTTGGGGACATCAATAAATGATGATGTTGTTGTTGCTGCTGCTGCTGTTGCTGTTGGGGCTGTGGATAAATAGGTTGGAATGGAACAAAAGGATTTGTTTGATTTTGAACCATTTGAACTGCTGGAGGAGGAGCAACGGAGTTAGCAATAGCAAACGGATCAGCAACTTCAAATGGATTAGGCGCAGGTGCTCCGTATGCTGGTTGCTGGGATGCTCTATATGCAGCATCATCATACAAACTATGTAGTGTAAGTGAATCCAGTCCACCAGCCTGCCAAGCAAAATGTCCACAAAACACAATGTAAGCCGTGTACTTCAAGTGCATGTTCGCTACACACTATACTCAACAGTACAATGGACAACATTTTAGCTCCTCTTTCATATTTGTTGTTAGTTGTCGTCTAATCTTAGACTACCAGACATGCCATAAGTGTTTGTGGAAACAATTAAATAAAGAAACCATCATTGCAATTGTCATAAGCATGTTTGCTACGA